TAAGAGACAGTGTTTGTGGTAGGATGGAAAGAAATTGTAGGCAGTAATTTTTTTTTACAATAGTTGAAACTTTTGGATAGAAGTTATTCTTAGTGGTTCGTGGTGAAGCCATAGCAGTTTGACTCAGAGCAGAGTAGGGGAATGTTCAGGTCATAAGTGATGCTAGGTGAGTGACTGGGAGACAAATTTGAACATAATACAAAAGACATTTTTTTTCAGGACTTCTAACCAAAATTCCTGACAGTTTCTTTGGGAGCTTACAAAGTCCCAGCTGATAAACTATGCCTAACATTCAAAAGGTGTATACAGTTCTGTGCATGGGAAACAAATATGTATCTTAAACTTGGCACTCGCATCTCAATGCCTTATTTTTTCAAAAGGTTTGGCTACTCAGAGTGCTTCATGTGGCCAGTTGTGCTCTCTTAGACAGCCAAACAAAAGTTTCTGGTTCAAGTAAATATCAGTTACAACAGGTGTTAGTTGAAATCTCATTTGTGCTGTGTGTGTCTTTATGGCATATGGTTTGGGCACTTCAGAAAAGCCTAAATGGGTTTTTCAGCTTTCATTCCTGTTTTGTTTTTGCATTAGCTTTTTTAAACATGACTTGAACAAGTGTATGGTAGAGCACAGTAGAACTTGATGGTCTTTTTGTTAAATCGGAACTCAAGATCATACCTGAGGTAAAGAATTCCCTGTCTTCCATGGTGGAAGTGGATTGCTAGAAACTAGCTGATGGCCAGGACTGTTGGTAGTAACTGATTTAATAGCCATTGGGGTATATGACAGTAGTGTTAGTTTTGGACGTTTTGGGGCATTTGTTAAATTCTCTATAAAGACCAAATCCCAACTGATAATTAAATTTACCTTTCCCAAAGTGTTTTCTGTAGTTTTTAATCTCTGTGTGTAGCTTGTGTGATAAAAATTTAAGACTGAGTCTCTTGATTAATATACCAGTGTTTGGATTTGATAGTAGAGGAAGTATCTTGCCTTAGAACTCTGACAGAAGGCCAAAAAATCAGATACATTTCCAGCTACCTCTTGGGCTAATTTAATTCTGTCAGCTAAAGGATGGTGAAGACTGAAGTCTTGGTTGTCTTGAGGAGACAGATCCCTGTTGTACATGCATATGTCTGCTGGTCTTTCAACCATTGTTTGGCAGAATTTTCATGGCTGTTGATTTAGAGTAACAGTATCCTCAACTTGAGTATGTAATACATCTCACATGCATTCATTTTGCTCATGTTATGCTAACTTCAGGATTATTTTGTTGTTACAGATATGCAAGTCTCTATTTTTGTTGTGCTATTGAAGATCAGGACAATGAACTAATAACTCTGGAAATAATACATCGCTATGTAGAACTTCTTGACAAATATTTTGGCAGTGTGAGTTAGTAATTTCTTTTTAATTTTTATATATTCACAGTCTCTTTATATTATATCATTTTGGTTTATGCCCACAGTTGTTCTAAAAAACATAATCAACTAGCTGTTGAAAAGGTGCCTCTAACACATTTTATGTTGCTTGCTTGGCCAAATTAAACTGTTAAAATACAAAATTAAGTTATTAATTTTGGAGAAAAACTGCTATTAATCTGGTGTTAATTGCCTGTATTTATTTCATTTCCTAGTAGTCACACTTGAAGTCAGATAAAATCTTATCCTTAGCTTTCTGTCTAGGCACCCACTTTTCCTTCTCCCTGGCACTGCTGTAGGGCGTGAGCACTTCTGACATCTGCTTCTGAAGGAGGCAGTTAGTTGTGAACTGTCAGGAGTGGTAAGAAAAGAGGAGACAAACATCTGCTTACCCAGATAACAAACACAAACAACTGTAGTAATGTGGATTAGCACTCTTAGAAAAACTGCTGCTTATCCTTCTGCCTTTCTAGTCCTTCTGACTAGGAAATGCATAGGATGAATAAGAAATTTGAGATGAATGTGTTTTCACTTTTTTCTGTAAAATTGTGTAATCTGCCTTTGGATACTGCAGGCAAGGAAGAATTTTGAGTGATAATCTTGTGCCTCATGAAGAGCCACACCATACTGATGGTTCTGAATTGAACCCTTTTTAACAATGAAAACATTTTTCAAAGAGGTTGCTGTAACTAACTCAAGCAAAAAAAGATTGGTTTTTTAATTTTTTCCTCAAAGGTCTGATTTTTTTTTTTCTTGTTGCTCCATTTCTGAAAAGGTGGTAGCTGGAGGCTAACATCTTGATTTGGTGAAATTTGGTGAAGCTGTGACCAAATTAAGTTTTGTGAAAGGATATACCTCAACACATAGTATCCTCCCACTTTGCAATTAATGCTCTATGTTCTTTTTAGGTATGTGAACTTGATATCATCTTCAATTTTGAAAAAGCCTATTTTATTCTGGATGAGTTCCTTTTAGGAGGGGAAGTTCAGGAGACTTCCAAGAAAAATGTTCTCAAAGCCATTGAACAGGCAGATCTTCTACAGGAGGTAAGCAAATTCAACTTCTCTGGCCAAAGCATCAGCATGGTAGGCTGTGAGTCGAAAAAGCTCATTTCTATAAGCTTGTAGAAGGTGCTTTTTAGCATGCTTAGCATGTAGTTTCTAGTTATTTGTTGTAATTGTGCAATATGATGATGTTACCTGCTCTTTTCATTTTGTTTGGCATGTGTATAATCTACTGTGATTTTTGCATTTTGCTAGAAATGCAAGTGGCTGTTTTATGTGTATACTTAGATAATTGTAGTTCATGCTGTTTTAACTTAGAGTTGTTCACGTGTCTTTCATTTCTTCTATTTATTAATCAACCATTAGCTTTTTGTCATACCTGATGCATGTTCACTTCTTTACTGTTTCATTGCTGAAATCCAGAAGCTAGACTCTCTTCTTTGAGACATTCAGGTATAGTTCTTATTCTAAAGACCTGCCTTTCTACTATAGGTTGCTTACTCTGGAACATTTCTGTCTTTTAAGTTGACAAAGCAGTAATTGTAATGCCATAGAAACATACAGAATGAAGTATAAGAACATATGTTTTTTCACTTTGATTGCTTTTTTTGTTCATTACTAACTTTGAAGACAGAGTGCACCTCTACTGTTTGTCTTTGGAAAACATTTGATGGGAAGGGGTTCAGTGGTATAGAAAAACAGTATCATTTCCTCATGTTTCCCCATCCTATGCTGTTTTTTGGGGAGGGCGTGGGGTGGGTGTGCTCTGTGGGTTTTTTTGGTGTTAAACTGAAATGCTATAGTCTTGAGTTCAGTGTTAAGGTCCTTTAATGTCTAAATGGAAGTCACAAAATTCTGGTATGCTAGAGGAGTCATCAGTCTTGTGTGCAAGTCAGTGGAATGTACATTTTAACAGGGATGATGAACCTTATTTTTTTTAAATGTAATGAGGTTCACTGGTAAGAATCTACATACATGTAAGCTCCTCTATTTTTTCCCTCTCATGTGGACCTTCAATTTTTTTATTTCATCCTGTGAGTTAATCGCTTAATTCTCATATAAGCGTTCTGTGTTCCACTTGGTACTTTTTTTTGTTGAACATGGTCTTAATAGGATGGGGAAACACATAATGTTCTTTATCCTTGTAGTTGTGTTTGTAATCCTTTCAGAGTACACGCAAATCCACAGCATGTCAAAGTTCTTGTCTGTCAGCCCCTAGTTAGTGTCATGAACAAGGTCAGCCATTACACACAGATTTTTCTACCCTGTTTTTCTGGGAAGGAAATATATGCACTTATTTACTGCTTATGTTCTGATTCAGGTTTTTTGAGCCCTCTTTTACTCTTAGAAGGAATAATCTTAACCAGAAGTCCTGTTCACAAAGGGGAGGGGGAGATAATCTGTTTATTCTGTTAAAATCTTATGTTGTTCTTTACAGAAGATCTAACAGATCTAACAAATTATTTATTTCAGTCTGTCTCCTGCAAATGTACTGTTAATTATACATAAAATAGAATTACTGTTGTTTTTATTATTCTCACTGGTTTTGAATTTTATTTTCACCATTTTCTTATGGCTCTTTTAAAGCAAAAATGCATTCTACTTCTAGGAATTAATTACTGATTTTCTATCTAAACAATTAGCATTCTCTTTTTAGAGTAGTATAACTTCAAGTTAAAAAAAATTATGCAAAAGTATCGCTTTTTCAATGGGAGATTTTTTTCCCTTGCCCTGATCGCTTTACTCTGATTACCGTTCCTTTCCCCACCTCTGTGAGATTTTCTGTTCTGTCAAGGTTTATTAAATCTTTCTGATTAAATTGGAATGTAACGGTTTATTACAGCACCACTGTAGTCTTACGTTTGATTTTGTTTTTCATTCTTTGTTATATTGACTGTTGATCAAGTATAATACCACTCTATATATCTGACTTTTAGTTTATAAAACCTGTAAAAGTCTGAATTCATATTTAAGTTGAGCTTCCAATAAAGTAAAACTCTTTTTGCAGAGGTTTGTTTCTGTATCAACTGCTGCTATGTGCATGCTGAGTTTGATGAAGAGGGTTGTTAAAATAATAGTCTGTCACAACTGGAGACTTTTTGGTCCTTTCAGTTAATTTCTGCTTCCCAGAATACTTCAAAGCCACTGGAATGAAATGTGGTTTGGTTCCAAATGCAAACCATTTATAGCAGGGTGTGTTTTTGTGTTTGTTTTTGACCATGTCATATTCTAATTATGTGCAACAAAAGGACTTTTATTTCGCCCTGAATACTCATATTGCCTAACTTAAAAACTACTAATCAGTGTTGAATACACAACATTATTAATTAGTAATGCTACATACATTAATGTATGAAGCACCTTAAAGATTAAAAGCTGTACAGAATACTTATACAAAGGAAAATCATTACAAATACATTAAGGGGCTATTTATGTGATGTTAAAAGAAAATATGCAGAGGCATAAATTGCTGAATAGTGAATTAGTTCTTAATAGCCTTGCCTGCTTGTATTTTCTGTGGCAGTATTCCAGGATGTACTTCTGTTCCTGAGCACCTACTTCAGTTTGTCATTAAGTTCTTGGTGCTGTGCAGTTCACTTACTGCTAGAGTTTGTGTGACTGAAACATATGAACTTTTTAAGTCTTTTTCACCTTCAGTTTCTTGTTAGCTCTTCATTAATGTGCTCAGTTCAAATATTCATTCCTTACACCACCCTCACCCCCATTTATTACCAGCTGATAACTTATCAATAGTCAGTTGTCAATACTGACTGTGTTAACCGAATGACTGGTAGTAAAAACTAATTATTGCAGTGCTTCCTTATAAATCTATTGCTAGAAATATATCTGTTCAAAAGAATGCTGTCATGTGGCTTGTTTGATAATTTTGTATCTTTTACTGTAGAAACTTTAAATACTTAACTAGTGATTACAAAGGCATGCCTTTCTAAAAAGGTGTTTTTTTTGCTTATGTGAACAACTCAGTTATACTGAGAGAAGAAAATGGGCAGATGCAGTATGTTGTTGCATGAGTTATATACATTTGTGTTGATCAGCTAAAACTTCTGTGCATTACTTCATTATACTTATTTTTTAAATGCATGAAGCTAACAACAAAGTATGTTCTATGCCAAAGAGAGGTTCTGGTTTTTTTGTGGGTTTTTTTTTGTTTTGTTTTTGTTTTGTTTTGTTTTGTTTTTCTTTTCACTTAAGTCTAATTGTTGTGTTTTTATTTGATGGTCCAGGTAATTCAGTATGGTGCTTGGAAGTTCATGGTTATTTACTGTGATGGAACACTAAAATGAAGGAGTTAATTCTAACATCTAACCCAGGCAGTTATATATTTATATATAACCATATATTGTATATATTTAAAAGCAAATCTATACAGATTTGCTCACCTTCATGTGAAGTAGAAGAAAGTTCCTAAACATTGGCTTTGAGTGAAAATTCTTTTTGTTATCCATCCTATGTACCTTCTATTAAAATATTTTGGAAATTATCCCCATTTTGTTCACCACTATTTTGTAGGGGGTATATATATTCTTTTAGTGGTTGATTGCAGAACATCTAAAATACTTAAAAATATATTTTTTTAAGAGGTGTATCAGTAAAAAGGCCAGCGGATCCATGGACAAATCACACTTGGTTCCATCTCTATTTTACTAATGATGAAAAATCTAAAAGCTGTGTGAATGTTTTTTCTTAGGCTCTTGCAGTTTGGCCTCAGGTAGTATTTACTAGTCCTTCCACATGAAGCATAACAGTTAACTTTTCCTTGCTATTTCAAGCCCTCACCTCATCCTATATCCAGAAGGGTGCTTAAATTGTTAATGTCAGCTGACTTCTGTGCAATTCTTAGGGCTGCTATGTAGATTTAAGCTTTTAGTTTTAGAATGAGCATCTTTGGAAATGAAAATTCGGTGAATTTTTTGCATATGCCATGAAAATTTTCTTCTTGAAGGTGAAATGTGCTAATTGGAAATTGTTTGAAGGGATACGTAATAGTAGAGAGATGGTATTTGGTTCTTCTTGAGATAGACAAAATAAAGGAATGCTAGCATTAGCAATGACAAAAGAAAATCCCTGAAGCCTAGAGTGGGTGGGAGTATAAGGGGTTTTGTTTGGTTTAGCACCTGTTTCTTACTAGTCTCCTGAGGAATTTACCATAATTAATGCAATTTAATTCAATGTTCACTTAATACTAACTCTTAAATATAGACTGCTGAAACAGACTGCCTTCCTAAGTTGGCAGTGACAGTATTTGCCTAGGCTCTACCTGTATTCCTCTCCATGTGAAACAAGAATGAATAATGAAATCTTTATTATAACAGAGAGCTGACTGCCTTGATTGCTGTCTGTTCTTGATGTGTAACTTCTGGCTTGGTTTCAGGTAGTCAGCTTAGTTGGTCAGTTTAAGACATGTATGTGTTTGATTTTCAGCACCGATACTGGTCCATAATTAGATTTTAGAAGATACGTATGGGGAGCTACGAGAGTTATCATGAATGAGAAAGGGGTATGTTACTAGTTCATTATTTAAGGATTAGGAAATAGCTATGATCTTTTTGGTTCTGGATTCCCTTCCAACTTGCAGAAGAGTAAGTTGTAGTCGTGTTTTGGTAGCTGATGCTTTTGTAAAAAGCATTTGACTTCAGTCCCTGAAGGATGTTGGATACATAGCAGGAAAGAGGTTATAATACAATTAGATTGTTTGATCTTTTAATTCAAGTATGAAGTGTATACCTTGTCCATTTATATTGAAGGTATTGACTCAATGTTGATCAAAAATAAAGTGAGCTTGTTTATAGTATTGTTCTAGACATTATTTAAGAACTCAGAATGAAACTATTTCTGGTTTTATGTGATAGGTAAAGTCTATACATAAACAGAATATATAAGTCCAATTTGGGAAGGTGCATTCAACATAATTACTTTCTTTTTGAGGCATTGCATGTTTTCTTAATTGTGCTCTTCAAAATGTAGGTGCTTTTTAAGTATTATGTGAGAAACTGCATGCATGTGGAAATGGCTTTTTATAAGATACTTTGAGTGTGAGGTAGGTTTCCCCCTGCCCCAGTCTTGGGAATGAAAAGTTGAATTGCTTGTTCTTAGCTGAGGAATGTTTTGTGACAAACTGTGCCCCAAAACAAGATAAAGCATATTGGGCCTAAATGAAGAGGCCACTTGCTTTTGTGTTCATTTTTCCATGTGTGTTGAACAGATGACTATTTTTGAATTAAATAGGCCTTGTGTGCATGCTTGACTACAGTGGTGCTCTGTGACACTGTATATATAATATGCTTCACTTTGGAAGAATTTATTTGCACTTTGTCTTAGGAAAATTTGTTCTTGTTGTTCAGTTATGATAGAGGTTGTTCTTGTAAAACTTGTTCTTGTAAAACACTGCTGCTTAAATTTGGTGTTCACAGGATGGGGAGCAAAGGGATACTAAAATTGCTGTTTGATTGTATGGAGCTGTGCAAATGTGGTATTTCCAAATGTGTCAGTTACAGTTCCAAGCCTTGTCCTGCTATCATTCATTCTTTGTGTATATTTATGTTAATTACTTTGTAGCATTCTGTTCAAGTAAAAAGTCACTTAAAATATAGAACTGTATTTCTGACTTTAAAAGCTATCTTGCTTGTCATTGACTGTACTGTAGACTGTTGAGTTTACCAAGTCACTGATATGACCTGCCAGTGTTTTTTTAAGAAGTTGTCATGGCTTTGTAAATACCTAATGTAAATTCCTCTGGACTTCAGATGGAATAAACTGTAAGAATACACTTAATCAGGAATCATAGGAACATTGCTTTTCTTGGGGACAAACCTCTAAAGACAACTAGTTGTAAATTTAATAGTAGCAGACAGATCTGTAAACCTTAATATCAAAGGTGTTTCTGTATTTTCAATAGATATTTTTGAACTGTCCTCCTTGTACTGTGGAGTAGGCTTTCCTGCAAATACTCTTCTGTTCAAAGCAATAGGAATTGGTCCAGGAAATTGATAGTAGAACCTTCATCTCTGTTTTACTCCCAAGTAGGAATGGGCAGAGGGGAAGTCAACCTTTTCCGATTTAAATGTCTTTTCAAAAAACTGTCATTGAGTATTCATGAAGTTAATGTATGATACTTCACCCTCTTCCTATTCTCAAACTGCTTTTTCTTCTGGTAACCTAAATATTTTACTGGTCTGTCTGTGAGTCTCTTTTTTTTTTTTTTTAAAAATGCAGTTCAGTATCTTAATGTTCTTTGTGAAGTTTCTGTCTTTTCTGGATGTGTCATGATGCTTAGGACTTATCATAGATATGCAGGCTGTGATTTCTAAATGCTTTAGAAATTCAATTGTCTTTCCAGAAACATGTTGTCAAATCTTAATCTTTCCTTGGCTTTATGAATTGAAAATGTTAGAAAGCAGTTTGCTTTTAACCTAAGCAGTTTTTGTTCAGACCTTTAGAATATCATTTCACTAAATCTGTCTCCATAATATTCTCCTTTCTTTCTGTATGCAGGTAAGATGTGAGTAATCTTATTCTAGTAAAGAAATCAAAATGCTGATTAGAAGTTCTTAAGACTCAGCAAGTTGTGTGGAAGGAGTCTTCCGTATAAGTATTACGTATGCATTCAGTTAGCTTTGCAAATTGAAACATGAGGAAGTTTCGATTATAAGACAAATTAGCATGAGTGAAGTCCTTGCTGTCTGATAACTATTCAGTACACTCTCTGATGTGAATTCCAGTGCTGATCAACAACATCCACTTTGCAAATCTGCCTATGAAGTTGATAATTCACTGATAAAAGCAATTGTTGTAGAAATGTTGAGAGTATATTAACAGTACACCAAAATCCTCGTAGATTATAATTCCATTCAGGGTATATTTATTATCTGTACATTGAACCGATAGATTTTTTTTTTTTTCCCCCAGGGATATTTTTCTGTTGTTGTCTGTAGAAGCACTGTCATGGTGATATGATGAAAATTTTAGCACTGCTGCATATGATGTAGCTGTTTTCAGGAGCTTAGTTGCATGCTTTTGGTCAACAAACATAATAAATTCAATGAACAATTGCAGAAGACTGCTTTGACAGTAAGGAGTATCTTATCTTCAAAATTAGATGCTCTTTCTGAATGAGCACATTAATCTGCATTTTAATAGAATGTGTTCCCTGAATCTGGCAGAATGCTGAAAAGAGCAATGTTAATGTTTGGACCTTGAGATAGTGAGGAGAAAATTCAATTTTTACTCTGGTGACTGAGATGATACGTCATGTTGCAGTTCTACTACTCCTTCCTAAAATTTTCACTACCTGTGAAGATGACTTTAGAGTGCCACAGAATAGTAGGTGAAAAGAATATGAATGCCCCCAGGAGGCATCCCATTGTGTTCACTTTTTATGTTCTCATTTCTTTGTAGTCTTACTTGTGTGTTGTACAGATGTCAGGCACATTGCTGGTGTGTGTCTGGGGGCTTTTATTTATTCTTTTTAAGGGAGAAGCCTTTTTTTTTTTGTGTCAAGTTGTCTAACAACAGTAGTAGTTCCGGTGATGGATATCAAGACGCATTAAAAGTGTGTATATTTTAAATCTTACGCTGAAAATTTGATCTTAAAAAAGCGGAAAAAAAAAAAAAAGTCTGAGAAGACCTGTTCACAATTCTTTGAGAAATCTAAGTATATTTGATTAACAGATGGATTAAAGGGAAAATGTTCAACTTTTTGCACCAAGGATTACTACATGAAACTGGCTTATCACATACAACTCAGCAAGTGACAATGATTTAATAGTAAATATGATTACATAGGTTTTGAATTAAATTGTTTTAATTACTTCAGGGATGGTAGGTAGATAAGTTGAATAAAACTTTTATTTCCTTTCATGGAATGAATCTTACTTTAACATCAATATTAGTAATAATACTGTGTGAAGCTTAGTCATTGAATTAAGTATATGTAAATCCGGTAGCATCCTGTTCTATTACGCTCTCAATCTGTTACAGTAATGAACAAATGTTCTTAAAAAAAAAAAAATCAGTCTTTGAATTAATATTCCTTCAAGCACAGGTGAGCCTTTCTAAACAACTCTCTAGAACTTACTAATTTAAGGTACTAATATCCTTTATCTTGTTAAGAAATGAGAAATAAGAGGTTTTTAATGCATCTACTTGGAGTCTGAACAGATGTGTTTTTACTTTGCCTTTCTGTTGTTTGCTTTGTAAACTGGACTTTTAGTAGGACCTAATAAAATTGTATTAACTTAAAGAATAACAATAGATGAAACACATTTGAGTGAAATAACTGAATTTTTTATACAGTTTAGAATATTTTCTAACTTTTGTTCTAAATTGAAATAAGCTGTAAATAATTGGGTGGGTCTTGTTTTGTTTGTTTGTTTTAATTAGTAGTTGGTATTACATTTTCACTGCTGCTTGATTTTGTGTTTGTAGAGCCAGAATGAAGACTGGGGAGGTTTGTCTGAGGATATCTTATGATTAAAGCAATCTAAGGCATTAGCCCTTTTGACCCCCATCTAAATGATTGGTAATTACCAAGTTTACCATTTCGGTGGCATGGTTTAAATGGGTGCTATGCAAAACTGCTGCACGTGTAATTAAGTCCTTGCAAGGGTAAACAGAAAATGGGTGATGGGCTTTAACTTTCTGCAACACTTGCATGATGGTCTTTGAAGAGTGCTTTGAGTGTTCCCTTTTATTTTCCTTTTTTGTACTAACCGCATCAACTTGAAGTGTCTGACTTCTACTAGCTTTCTTTGGTGTTGATAATTAAGTGGGATAATGCAAGTTAGAGAAATGGATACCAAAACTAATAACTAAACAGATGTTTGGCTTTGTTTACTTACAATCAACCCATGTAAATGTGTATTTACTGGAAAACGAGCTGTTTACATCTGCTGTGCAAAGAAAATGGGCCCTAAAAAGACTGGGTGCTTCTGCAATTGACTGTATATCAAGTGCCGGATGCTGCATGACAGAACAAAGCTTATTTGCATATATAGTGCATTGCAACATATTTCTGTCCAAAGCGTAAGTGGAATACATTGTGGCAGTCCTACTAATAAAGGTAAGATTTTATTTTACATAAGGCAAGTTTAAAACACACATGAAAATTATCAGCTGGAGAAAATTTAATTAGTCCTCTGCTTATTTGATATCATGATAACAAGTAGTTCAGTAAACAAATTGGCTTTTATAATGTGGAACTGTGGTAATAGATCTAATTTCATATGCAGCTTTATAAACATCGGGGTTTAGTTTCCAGACAAAAGAAAATTATTATAATGGACAAAAATATATTGTAACATGTTCAAAATCAAATTCATTCTTGGTGTATGGGTGTTTTTACCATTTAAAAGTTACTTAGTATATGATAGAGCTGTTGATCTGCATTGGGGAGTGGAGAGTAGCTAATAACCTGTCTGTAGATTTAAGGCAGCCAACAAGTCAAAATAGAGTTCAAAATTGTTCAAAATACAGTTTATGTGAGTTTGGACATATTCTAAAACAATTATAAGAAAACATAAATGCTGAAGCTTGATTTTTTTTTTTTTTTTTTTTTTCCCCCATGTTTATTGCTTTTTCTTTCCATGATAACAAGTTCATGTACGAAGAGTGTGATTCTCATGGTGAGGTTAGTATTGCTACTGCAACTCTAAAAGTTTCCTTGTGATTAAAACTTGTGAAAGTATTTATATTGTTTGGGACCTATGCCAAGCATAGAGCTTTCACTTTAGGAGTCTTAATCTTTTTTGTTGTCTTAAATGGCTACACCAATTCTGGAATATGCAAGCTCAGGCTTAGAGAATTCTGTGATTCCAGTTTACTTGTCTACAGTATGTCCCTAATGAATTTTATGTGTGGGCACAGTTTTAGTTGAAGAAATGTGCTTTGTTCCCAGTACTTTAAGCACAGTGGCATTGTCAGATGCCCATGGGATGCTTCTTCCTGGCCTGTACCACTCCCTGGAAGGAGTAGAGGAATAGTGGATGTGTACAGAGCTTAATTTATATGCTTGTCATGACTCCACAGAATATGGAGAAACAGGGATCTGCTGGGGTGAGTGGAGAGGGGCAGATAAATGGTTGCACATAATAAGAGATGGGGATAGCTTGCCTGCAGGAAGGAACTGCAGCTTGTATATAGATCATCTGTGGTAAAGAAAGATCTCCTGAGGTGAAGAAGGTTGCCTTTGGGCAAGGGGCAGTTTGACTTGTATAGCTTCTGTGCTTGGATTAACCTGGTACTTAACTAATAGGTTATACACCTTCAAATTACTTAATCGTTGTTATTCTATCAAGCATAAACAGGCACTAAATAAGTAGAATTTGTTTTTTTGATGGCTGTTTCAGAGAGACTGGCTTGTAAACTAGAGTGAGTTCTTTTCGTACTATATGGCAAGTGTAGTAAGCCACATATTCAGAAGTAGTCTATTCCATATAGAACTTGGTTAAATTTAAGGCAAGTCTCGTATAATGTTGAAAAACTTAAGTGGTATACAACTAGACAGGGTGAGGTTTTTCTACTGTACACTGAAGCTCTACTAAGTAGAACTTGCACTTCCTATCGAGCAGTTTACAGGTGGTAAAGTCATGGTCTTGAGTCAGGGTGCTGTTTCCTTGTCACCTAAAACCATGCTGACCATGACTCTTGAGAAGGCTGGATCCATTCCTGCTGCCACCTTTGTGGAGGCACACTTGCTCTGTGATTATGTGGCTCCTAGCCTGTTAGCTAAAATCTAAGAATATGCAGGGGAGCACAAGGGAAGTGCCAGGAGTAGGAAATCAGTGGCACTGAAAAGCCAAGTAAAAGGCAGCTGCTTCTGGTTGCAGCCAGGACTTCTGATAAAGCTAATTATATAACTTAATTTTTTTATTCTTAACAACTCCCAGTGTATGTAAGTGTTTTAAAAAGTCAGTGTTGTCCATGTATCTTGTCTTGACTCCTGTCTGCAATGAGCCCCCAAGTCAGCCAGCTTAGTTACCTAAGTTCTAATTTACCTGTCTTATGCTGCACTCCTGCTGTTGGCCTGAGGAATGTGGCAAGGAGCTTCAGCAGCAGTATTGATGTACGGAGTTTTCAGCTGTCCTTTCCTTCTCTTTCTTTTGTGCCAGAGAAGCTATTTATATGACCATTCTAGAACTGGATTTCATATCCATTTAAACTGATCCAATTTAAATTGCTCATTTCTAAAAACATATAGTCAGCAGCTTTTCTGTATTTACAACTTGGCCCTGCAAACATTTGTCCAAACAACTGTAAGAAGGCAAAGTGTTGCAGGAACAGGAAGGAAGGGGAGGAATGCTTAAATGCCATTGCCATGGAAGATGAATGATATTGGATGTGACATGGCTTGTTACAGCAGTATATTCTGGTCATCCCTTCAAAGCTACAGTCCTGCAGTTTAAGAAATGGTTCCTTAAGCAGAGGGGAATAAGTAATGCAAACCTGGAGCTGCAGTGCTGGAAGAAAATGGAAGAAAACATTAATGAATCCTTATGTGCATAGTTTGGCAAGCTGCCAGAACATACAGACACTGTGGGATTATCTGCTAGAGAACTTGGTGGTTTGTAATAATTTTGGCTGTAGCTTCAAATATAAAGTATTCAGCAATAGTATTTGCATAAAGCATTTGCGTTTTTGTGGTGGGGAAGTGGAGCCTCCAGTGGATGCTGAACCATCCTTACACTTAAAAATTAGGCTATCAGTTCTTCATAGCTCACTGCTAAGCAACTGATTGGCAGGTATGAAGCACTGCCTCCTGGAGCGATTATCACCTCTGATCCAGCAGATCAAAATAGCAACTAAGAAGCAGGAAGCACCCACTATTATCCAGTTACAGTACATGAAGTTTCCACTGATATTTTTACTTCTGCTGTTGAGAGGGAGGCAGGAAGGCCACTGCTGATCTTATGTCATATCCTTCTGCTCTAGTCTGTTGAGCTGATGTTTTAGAGCCGAAGAATGTGTGTATGCTAGGATGTTTGGATGAATAACACTTGCAAGATGACTGTTGCTGTTTCTCTTGTGAGACTCTTGTGGAGTATTGTGTTGACTAATTTGCACCAATGTTGAAGATTTATTTTTTGGTCTTCTCTGTATAGGAAGCTGCAGACAAGATCTTGACTTAAGAGTTGACACTGATGTAGTTTTGTTCTTTGGTTTTGAGCAGCATCATAGTTAATGTTTGTCTCTGAACATGTCCAAGACTGTGGGTGTTTCTAGGTTCTCAGAAAATGCTTTGCTCTCCTTCGAAAGTGAAGTAAAAATTTCCCAATAACTTTGTAATTGGAGTATCTGAATAGTTAGCTAACCAAAGATTGGGAAATAGATACTCTACTGTTTTGAAATCCTTGAAAAGGCAAGTGAACAGCAGCAATTTCCTAAAGCAGCCTTTCGTTAGAAATATTTCCTAATAAGGATTCAGGAGTGTAAAAGTAATTGCTTCTGAAGCATTGCTGAAGAAGTGCTTGTTAAATGTTAATCTCTTTCTACTGTAAGAACTTCATGTTTCTAAACAGATCCTCATACCACCTCTCTTTTCCCCATAGTCTGTTTCTGTATAATTGTTGCCAAGCTGCTGTGTACTCCATGGTCCTGCATCTTGTCTGTTCTAGCTTGGGGTTTGTTTAGATGCTAGGGAAAAAAAAGGCAAGCCTTTATCAAAGGTAGCAGTTGTAATTTTTGCTTACAGTTTAACATGGCTTGCCTTCATAGGCTTTGTGCTGCTTTCAATGGGAAAGAGTTAAAACAAAAACCTAAGCAAACCTCCCCTGAAAAAGGTGTGCCATGTACTCATGGCTGTGTGGTGTTGTCAGTAAAATGGCAGCACTGCAAAATGCTGAACTTGAGTCAGTTTGGTGTAGGCATAAATAATTTCTTGTCTCTCTCTTGCCTGAGGAAATAGACTGTTTTCTTGTCCACTGCAGACATAAAGTAGCTTAAATTGCAGCAAGAAAGTAATTTCAATGTAGATGTTAGGCAAATTTTCCAGTGGTGATGATAATGAAGAATTTAAATAGATTGCCTGGGGGGCATTACAAAGTTTCCATCACCGGGTGCCTTTTAACAGATCAAATATCTCTCAGGAATGTTACATGTATGCTGTTTGGGGGACTGGATTAAATTAAATCCCTTCTCATTTTAGTTTGATTATGATTTTTAATTAGGTTGGATCATGACAAAGTTGGCTGAGACAAATGTCAGTTGGGCTGGGCTGGCTAAATAGTTGACTCAAATCAACTCTACCATTTTTCTAATTTAAAAATCTCTAATGATTCAGGCTGACAATTTCAGAGAGTATTATTAGTTTTTTAAAATGACTTGTAAATACAGATATCAGTTTGAGAAAGATGGATTCTAGTAACTTTAAAACATTGTGGAATTGCAGTGTGCAGTTTGTATTGTAGAGCTATTACAGCTTTGGCAAAACTAGGATGTAAGCCCTGTGTGTTAAAATTCAGATAAACAGTTATCATCCACATTTTTAAGTAAGTGACAATTTTTCAGAGGTAGTATTTCATGTTA